TTCCTTAAAATACTGTTTTCAATATAAATTATGTTAATTAAAATGTAAGATAAGTATACACGTTTAATTTTAATAATCTTTCGTCAACTATTTTTAGTGGTAATACTTTCAAAATCACTTATCTATTATGTTTCTAATATTTTTTAAGAAAAAGAAATGAAATAAAGCTTAGATGCTGTTTTATTATTGTGTCTTGTGGGAGGGCCAAATTTTTAACAAGTATACTATGCTTTTNAAAGCTTAGATGCTGTTTTATTATTGTGTCTTGTGGGAGGGCCAAATTTTTAACAAGTATACTATGCTTTTGGAGAAAGAATTAGGGGAGTAGGCTAATAAGCAAATAAATGTTTTACTTTCCTTATAAACAAGTCTCATCAATTACAGTAACACTAAATACTTGTTTGTTTTTGTTACTGCTGTTCTTATTATTCAGATTGCTCTATTCCACTTTTTTAGTGTATTATTTGATCCTTTTTTAGTTGTTTGTTTACACAAACTATTGCAGACCAAATCCTAGCCTAATGAAGAGGCTTCAACTTTCAAGTGTGAGAAAACCAGTTTGAATATCTACAGCAAAATTCATAAAAAATGATAGGAAAGCAAGTGTTCCTTTGATCAACAGAAAGTCTAATATTTGAATATTAAGATACAGGAGCCAGTTAGTAAAATTGTAAATAAAAAATCTTAACCCCTCTCTCTGTCTCTTTCTCTCATGTGCGCGGGCACACACACAAACACACACACCATATATAGAATCAAGTAAAATTTATATTTACCTTATTTTGATCACATATAGTACCATCCTCTACAAAGCTTTGATCTGGACCTGGAGTATTGCTTCTTTTAGATGCTGACATACATATTTGGCCGCCAAGGTAAGTGTACTGAATATCATAACTTGTGGTTGATGCTATCTCTGTATGTGTCCAGTGACAAACTATCTTTGCACAAAGGGTATCTCTGGAAATATAAAGCAGAGAAAATTTCCCATATGTCACTCTGGGGCACAATGTATTAGGTAAATAACAATTCAAAATATGAAGATAATTCAAAATGTTACTCAGATCATAACAACAAAGCTATTCAGAGCAGACACCATCTTATGAAGTACAACATATAAACTCATCTGTATGTACTATATTCATCTCTCATTTGAATTAAGTGAATCATTGTAGAAAACACATACACACAAAAATACTCCCACACACAAACACACATGCATTTGGAAAATGAAGTTTTTAAAATACACACGTTATAACACAGCGGTTGGGAAAACAGTTTCCAAAGTCATCTCCGAGATAATTGATTTCTTCTGCACATAAATAACTAGAACCTTTAGAAACTAAAAACATAAAATTACAATTAGTCATTTTAAAAACATAAAACTAAAAATGTGATACATTAATATAGAAACATCTAGATAGCAGCAATGTCTAGTCAGTGCCATCTACTACAAATTTTTGATGTTACTTAGTGGCTCTTCAAGAATGAGAAACACTCCCTAAAAACTACCCACTTGAGAAAATTTGGTATCATCTTGCAGAAATGACAACACAGTCATTTGCTCTCTTATCTACAATTCTAATAATCTGCTTCCTTTGACCAGTCACCTGAAATTTTACTAATGTCCTATTGTCTTTATCCTATACTTATGAAGCCAACTTTGCTTCTTGACATAATTCACATACTTTGATTTGCAATTTTACTTTCAAATTTGGATTTAAATAAACAATGCCTTTTCTTGTGGCTTATAGGGTGACTTTATAAAAACACAGTTTAAAAATGAACCCCAGCCCAGCCAGTGTGGTTCAGTGGTTGAGCGTCGACCCAGGAACCAAGAGGTCACTTGTTTGATTCCTAGTCAGGGCACATGCCCAAGTTGAGGGCTTGAACCCTGGGGTGGGGGTGGGGGTAGGGGTGAGGGCAGGGCAGGGCATGCAAGAGCTTGCCATCAATGACGTTTCTCTATAATCCATGTTTCTCTCTATATCCCTCTTCTTTCCCATCTCTCTAATAATCAATAAAAACATATGTTTAAAAAAATGAACCCCAGAAAAAAACCCACAACTATTACATTTTCCAAATAACTCCATACACTGTCTACTCGGATCTCGGCATATTCCCTTATAGCAAAAGGCGGTTTTATTACTACATAGTTCATAATCAAGAGATTTCATATCATCTACACAAAACTCAGATGTTCCAGTGCAATATTCTGTAAAATCACATGGATCTTGGCTTATCCGACATATATGTCCTCTTGGGAATAACTGTGAGAAAAAGAAAAACAAATAGTGTGTTTTTTGGTAATACATTTTATCCAAAGATCTTAAAGTGCTTCACACATTACAATTAATCAAGTCTCACTACTACTCCAAGCAAGGTATTACTATCAGCTATGAGAGTTTAGATCAACTGTCATTATAGTTAAGAATGATGAGAGATTAAGTGATTTGTCAAAGATCATCCACTACTTCAGTACTGGAGAGGTACAACTCAGGTTCCTGACTTACACTATTAACATTAAGCACAGCCCCTGTGCATGGTATCCACTGAGCACGGCACCCTTCTTTTGAAATAATTTACGATATGCTAACCTGTTATGAAGTTTAAGTGAACATGAACATAATGGCATCAGTTCATGTACTCATACCCAACACCAAATTTGGAGGCAAATATGCATGTAATTTTCTGAAAGATGGGGAAATGTTAAACACAGAAGTTAGCATCATTATTTTTTCTCATCAGAAAATGTCATGTTACCTTTAAAAAAGTGTTGAACTCTCTCTCATTGTTCCTAATAACTTCAAACGTAAGAACAAAGGGAAACTGAAAGTGGGGGCTGCTACCAAAGCAGCAGTTCTAGGACGAAGTCTTTTCACAAGGTTGCTCAGGTTTCGTGATTGCACCTGACTGTTTGAGACAAAGGACATTGTTGATTTCTTTTTTTGATCTTTCTGAAACAAATATTTTTGTAAAGCACTAACCAAAAATGTAAGAAGATTAAATAAGAGAATTGTGTTGGTAACTCTCATTTGGATTCTATTACGTTTTTAGATACTTAAGGAAAATTATAAATTTACTTCTAGAGAAGTAGACTGGAAAGAACCCAAATACCCATCAATTTTCACCTCATTTTTTAAGAAGGGTCTAGTGAAAGATCTCATAGTTACAATGCTGTGGTTATACTAAATACTTCAAGATAAATAGAAAATATCTAATATCAAACTATGCATATTTATTTTTCAACTTTTGACTCTTGGGGACTAACCGCACACCTGAAATGCTGCACTAACTCAGAGGCTAGTCTTTACCATATTTCTAAAATATTGCTAAATGGGCTTCTTTTTCACGTCAAGTAATTTTTCTTTCAGGACCTATTCCACCTCTACCACAAGAGGTTATAAATCATGAATCTGCTTCTGACTCAGGATGATAATCAGAACACTTCTCCCTAGACAGTGAATGGAACAGTGGTGGAAATTTAACTCAGCAGGGTCAGTCTTGCTTTCCTCCATTACCAAGCACTGAGGCAGATGTTGGGAAAGAAAGGATCTTTCTGTTCTTCCGAAATATTGTACCATGAACTAGAAAAGCCAGGAGGTGCAGTGAGCTCTCGGCATTATATATGCAGAAACCTTGTTTGAGACCTGTTAACAAAAATGTGAGGCTATTGAATGGGTGTATAGAATAAGACCTCTATCGCTCCTGCTTGAAATGCTCACCTGAGCATGAAGTTAGACTCATCTTTTACCTAAGCTTCGTAAGTGTCTGTTTTCCTTTGCTTGGCTATCATCAAGATACAACCTTTTGGGACAGCATGGGTGGACCTAGAGAGAATTATGCTAAGTGAAATAAGCCAGTTAGAGAAAGAAAATGCCATATGATTTCATATACTTATAAGTGAAATCTAATGAACAAATGAAAAAAACAAGCAAAATAAAACAGACTCAGACATAAAGAGAACAGAAGGACAGCTGTCAGAGGGGAGGGGGGTTGGGGGCTGGGTGAAAAAGGTGAAGCGATTAAGCAGTACAAATTGGTAGCTGCAGAAGAGCCAGAGACACAGTATGCACCATGGAGAATACAGTCAAGAATGTCAAGAAAACGGTATGGGGCCAGGTGGGCAGCAGGGGGACAACTCTGGAGAGTGCTGTTATCTGAAACTGGTGTGGCATGGCATTGAATGTAAACTGTGGCTGAAACAAACAATAATTAAAATGAAATAAAATAAAATGAAATAAAATACTGAGTAGGTAAGTGTGGGCTGTGTTTTGATTTATGTTCTTTACAAAACAAATTCTAGAATATTTTTATATTTTTATTTTAACTACTCTTTAGAAAAAAGAACTCTTCAGCTTATTCTTCTAAACAGTGAAGTTATGTAATGTCAAATTTTTTTTAGTCATTTTTGGTATTTAAATAACAAAAGCTATATATCTAGAAGTTATCACCTTTGCTGTTTCACTATGCCACTAAAATTATAGTATATCTAAAGGGTGAAATGAAAACAATATTAGCAGGAAACTTTATTTCAAATTTTTAATAGGCTTGAATCTAAAGTCTAAATATAGTTAGAACTATCAAATCTTTCAATATTTTCACGCATAAAGTCATGTATAATGAATTCATAATAAACATCATTTTGTACAAATTAAAAAAAAAGATACAACTGACCAATACATAATTGGTCTTATACCGTACCAATTAAACTTTTAAAATTACATATAGAAATGTCTGAGTACTAGTTAGAAACAAGTTAGTCACTGTCATGTTTCAGTAAAACAGCTGGTTAAACTTGTCTTCCATATTTTTGCACTTGTATTTGTGCCTCTCTAAACAGAAATGTTATTTTTAAAATACTGGATAACATTGTTAAATTTTGGAAAAGCATTGGTGGAAACTAGCCTAACTGAAAGTAGACAGAGAAGAAAACAGGAAGGAAGCCTTTTACACCATGGCCAATAATGAAAGAGCAGAGTATAAGACACTTGTCAGCCATAAATGACATCAAAAGCCAAGTTCTGTGCTATAACACATAATAAAATTAATATAAACTAACAAAGTGCCTTTATCTCTTGCCCTGAAGCCTTCCTTAGCAACTTGTACTGTGAATTTTCAGTCAACCAAATGAACAGATTATCTCCATTTTAAAGAAATATACTTTGGGATGTAGGTAAAGGGCAATAGACTCTTTAGAAAAGTCTTATTGCTCAGTCCCACTGGTTTACAGACAAAGGTGAAGATGAGAGCTCTGCTGAAAGGAAAAACAACAAGATTTACTGCTAAGAAATAGAAATCCTACACTGGCCTCTACATTCATGTGCCTTAAAAACAAATGACCACTGGTTCTAATTACTAGCCCACAGAGTAAAGAACAAATATTGAACAAAGTAGAATAATGTTGTGAGAGATTTCATTGACACAGAAAAAATGAATCTGGCAAGAAAAATTTCTCATTAATCAGCTTTTATATTTGTCATAGACTCCTGAAAGTGACACTAAATGAGATGCTGCAATGATGTAATCCACAGAAGACAAATCCTAAACAATCTCCTCTCAGATGTGGCTACAGAGAAAAATTGAATGGAAAGCTTCCCAAGGGAAGTCAATTCAATCCACTTCTAGGCCAGGAGTCCTGGCCAAAGGTAAACCTCATTGTTTTATATGCTACATATTGCTGACTAAACTACATAGGTTCCTTTTCTGTTATTTTCAAAATGAGATTTTAAAAAAATGACTCTCTCATTCAAGCATCACATGCCAAGTGTGTGGTGGGTGACTCATTTATCATTTTGTCATAAGTTGTTTCATGATGCAGAGCGGCAAACAGGCATGACCAGGAGGAATATATAGCACCCAAATAATCTGGAATTGGTTTCAATGCAATAAATAGATAGATCTTAAGTAGAAATTGAAACAATATAGTGAGTGATGGAGCTAAATAGCAGGAAGAAAAACACCTAAAGACATCATCTAAATTCTAAAACGAACTGTGTATGAATCGGGTACATAAACTAACATATTTGAAAGATGTGTAAACACAAGTTTTTAAAAAACTAAAATAGAAAGAATGCCCAAGAACACAAAAATTCCATGAAGGAAAATAATGAAATATTTTGAAAGTTTACCCGACAATTTTTACTATTACAGCATGGTCCACTGCCACATTCTGCAGAGTGACGCAGTTCACAAGTTGCCACGTTACAGCATTTTTTGAAACGACACTCCTAAAAGTAAATACAATCAAGTTAAATAATAGAAATTTTCAATCAAATAGATAATTTTATTTTTCAAAATATACTAAAGTTTGTCTCTAAGTTAATTACAGTTACAGCGTAATTTTTACTTCTGTATTATTTATAACACTGCTTCATTAAACTTAATATATTTTCGGTATAGAAATCAATTGTAATAAACTATTCATGATTTCATGGTTAAGAAACTGAACTATTAATAATTTAATACAACTTCTTTCAATCCTCTTCAGTTTTGTAAACATATTTATGCACAATGAACTTTTAGATTTTTTTCATTGAATAAATTCTAAGTACCTTTCCATATTACTGAGTCTTCTCAAGAAATAATTTTGGGAATATATAACAAGTTATGATAGTGACAAAATCGAGGTTTCTAAATTATAATATTTTGGTACTGTAAAAGAGGATTCAGAGGAAATTGTCATTATTATATTTTAGCTCCAAATTTTATACTAAAGATTAACTCAAAAAGTTTTTGGAGTCATGGAGTACAAAAATAGTACATGCTCTTTATAATAGTATACTAGGATTTTGTTCTTTTTATACACTTGTCTATTCTATGAAAGAGGGATGTTTTTCTAGAATGATAAGAATATTTAAAAATTAGTAAAGTTTATAGGCAAACATAACTAAGCATTTATGTCTATTTCAATTTAATAATTTTACTAATAACGTGTTGAAAATTTCTCACATATGCACATTCTGGTTTACTTTATATTTCTATGTGTTGATTTTGGTTGAGGTATTCTGTTTATTTCCTATATTTGTAAGTACTTGTATATTAATGATACACAATTCAAAAACTGAGCTAGTCAGAAAGAAAACAACATAAATGAATATAATTCAGAATGCTTTTGTGATCTTGTTCCAGATTATCACAACTGCCCTTAACCTAAGGACTGGATACCCACTTTTTATCAGGAAACTTTAATCTGGGACTTGTTCACTTTGGAGGTAGACAGCTTTGGCCTAAGATAAACTTTTGAACAGTGATATGATTCCCCTTAGCCACAATTTATTACATCTGGGGGTCTGCCTTTATTATCCAAAGAAAGACAAAACTCTCTTGTAAACTCTCCTAGGGCCCATAGCTTCTACTCTGATTGCTGGATCTATCATATTGCTGGCCCACTTGATGAAAATCATTAGCTGCTCCTTTGAACTCCTCGGAATATTGATTCCCTCCTACAGGGTTCCTTCCTGCATTTACATCTTTCTCATGTTAGTAATCCCTGCTTTCAATCTCTTAAGACTTGGATCTTGACCTCATATCAGCCAAATACTGCTGAGGTTGCTACAAATGCCTTGGTAGAAATGATTTTGCCCAGATGGCCAATGTACTGGATCTACACATGCTGTGATAGGAGAATTGTTCTTTTCAGAAAAACTGCGGTCTGTTTGGCAGGGAACGTTTAAATCCATTCAAGGAGTGTGCTGATTGCTGACTCATCTCAGTGGAGTAAAGGAACAGTTAAGTCTGCAATTGTTCTTCCTTCCTCCTGGATCCTCCTGCAGTTTTTCTGACTCCAGGGCTTGGTGAGAGTGTGTTCAGCTCCAAAACAAAATCTCCATTATTGTGTGAGCCATTTCCTGTGATGTCTCACTCTTTCTATACTTATTCATATACTGTGTGTGTGTGTGTGTGTATTTGGTGTGCATGCACAAAAACATATATGTATTATATTAATATAATATATTAACACATAACTATAAAAAATACAATTGCTCAATAATTTTATGCACATTACATGTTGAAATAATACTATACTGGACATAGTAAGTCACTATATGTTATATAAATTAATCACACCTATTTCATTTTGTTTTATAAATGTGGCTACTAGAAAATACAAAATACATGTGTGATTAAGATTATATTCCTAACAGATTACATTGATCTAAAGAAACTCGAATGGAATCAATAACTGAATTTGGCAAAGTTGCAGTAAAATATTCAAACTACAAATATCTAGTGCATTTTTAAGTCTGAATAATAGAGAAAACAAAATTTTTAAATATATGATTTAAAGTATCATAAAAATTTAAAAACATAGAAATAAAAATTTTAAAGTTTATCACTAAAAGACTTGAATATTAGGAAATACTGTTGAGAGAAATTAAAAGAAATAAAAAGTAAAGGCATATATCTCCATTTCATCTAACCTCAAATTTATCTAAAGATTCGATGAAATTTCTTCTGTCTTTTTGTTTGCAGAAACTGAAAAAACAAATCAGATAGTCTTCCTAAAACGCAAAGGGCCAAGATTACCCAAGACAATCATGAACTGGAATAATAATGCTGGAGGATATATAATATCATATTTCACCAGTTAATAAAAATTCACAGTGTTTCAAGATAGTGCCATAAGAATAGAAAAAACAAAAACTCATAAATGATTACTTGATTGATGACCAAGGTTGATTCATAGCACTGAGGGAAGGACAGTCTTCAAATAAAATGTGATTTTTAAAAATTTTATATTCTTATAGTATATATGAAAATAAATTACAGGTGAAATGATATTAGAGTAATGGCGGCTTGAGAGATCCCCTTAGTCTCTGCCCTTGAAGCTTCAGCAATTTGAATAGTTATGAATCAACAGAGGATTCTCTGCTCAAAGCACAAATATGCACATTGAAATATCTAAAGGTGGGCAAGTGGGAGCAAACAGGGAACAAGAGAAGGGAAAAGGGTTGAGACAAGCCACAGACACAGCCCTGCAGTCAATAGCTTACAGAGGGAGAGCAGATAAAGGGACGCAGCTAAGGCCAGAAAATGGGAGAATCCAGTTGTGGCTGGCATTCCCTTCAGCTTGGCAAAGCAAAGAGATTCTGCAGATATTCCTGCAGAATGAGCTGCGACTGAGTCTACGGATCTGGGAAAGGACACAGCATAGGGTGCAGGGACGGCTGATGGGCGGCTGGCATTCAAACAGAGAAAGAAAGCCATAGAGCCCTGCCACCCCATAACTTCCTGGAGCTTGCCTCCCTTCACCCTTGGTGTCTGGTTTTGAGTACATTATCTCGAAACCTGAAACTGTACAGAAGTATAACTTTTTTCCTGGAGTAATGGGTGTACCCTGTACCTGGTCCCAGGGTGAGGGAACAGGGAAAACCCCTAGAGAGGTCCAAGGTTTCCATTACCAGGAGGGCAAGACAACATAAAAGGCTGTAAGATTCCCCCAGCCCACCCCACCTCCACACATCACTGCTACACTTATGGCTGAGTTTGGCTGTGGAGGACAGCACTGGCATTTCACAGAGCTAAAAAACTTGTGAATCAGTGCCACCTACTGGAAAAAAACAAAAAGGCCTATTCATATATCTGCTAGAGAAATGCCACTCATACACAGATGCTTAGACAGAGAGGAATCCATCAAATACCTTACATAACGAAGATAGCAAGGAGGTCAGAAAGAAAATGAAAAAATCTCCAAAAAAGCAAACTAGAGACATGGAAATATGTGATATAAATGACAGAAAATTCAAGATTGCAGTTCTGAAAAAACTCAAAGAGATGTGAGAAAACACAGTCAGGCAATTTAATGAGATCAGGAAATAAATCAACCAACAAAATGAGTACTTTCCCAAAGAGTTTGAAACTTTAAAAAAACAATCAAACAAAAATTCTGGAAAGGAAGAACTCAATAAAAGAGACCAAGAATGGCCCTAATTTGTGTGGCTAAGTTGGTTGGTTCTTTTCCTGTGCACCGTAAGGTTGCTGGTTCAATTACAGTCAAGGCACATGCCCAGGTTATGGGCTTGACCCCAGTAGAGGCCATGCAGGAGGCAGTTGATGGTTATATCACTCTCAAATTGATGGTTTCTCACTATCTCCCTTCCCCTTTCTTTCTCTCAGGAAAAATTAATTTAAAAATTTTAACGAGATCAAGACTGAACTGGTGAAGATAAGAAATGAGCAGAACAGATGGAGAAAAGGATTAGTGATACTGAAGACAGAATTCTAGAAATGAGGCAGAGGAAAGAAGAGACTTGAACAGAAAAAAAAAGTGAGAATTCTAGGAGAACTGACACCACCAGAAAGAACAATATAAGAATAATAGGCATGCCAGAAGAAAAAGGAAGAGAGAAGGGAATGGAGAGCTTATTCAAACAAACAGTTGATAATTTCCCAAACATATGGAAAGAACTAGAACCTTGAATCCAAAAAGCAAGCAGAACACCTATTTACATCAATCCAAAGAGACCTTCTCCAAGGCACATTGTATTAAAACTGTCAAAAATTAATGACAAAGAAAGAATTCTCAAAGCAGTCAGGGAAAAGAAGAAAGTAACCTATAAAGGAAAGCCCATTAGGTATCACTGGACTTCTCAGCATAAACTCTACAAGCCAGAAGAGTGTAGAATCAAATATTCAAACTACTAAAAGAGAGAAATTACCAGCAAAGAAAAAAATCCAGCAAACTTATCCTTTAGATATGAAAGAGAAATAAAGACTTTTCCAGACATACAGAAACTGAGGAAATTTATCACCAGAAGAACCTCCACTGCATGAAATATTTAAGGGGGTCATTATACCTGAAACAAAACATAAAAGGTCACAAAATTACAAGTAAGGTCACCAACAATCTTACAGCATAAGTGGGAAAATTTGTGACAACAAAAACATAAAGGGGAGGGAGGTAACGTCTGAATTTGCAAGGGAGGATGATTAGATGCATTCAAAAGAAAAAGGACTACTGTATGTATATATATTAAACTTTCTTTTTCATAAACCTAATGGTAACAACACACACAAAAAACAAAACCTAGACACATAGTTTTAAAAAAGAGCAACACAGGAAAGAAGTATGGGATACCACCAAACTAAAAAGACAGACAAAAACACAAAGGAAAAGAACCAATGGAAACACACAGCTGCCAAAAATCAAAATATACAAGGACTATAGGAAATACTCATATATCAATAATTACCCTAAAACTAAATGGCTTAAATTCACCAATAAAGAGTCACAGAGTAGTACATTGGATCAAAACAAACCCCAAACATATGCTGTCTTTAGGAGGCACATTTCAGCTGCAAAGACAAAGTTAGACTCAAAGCGAAAAGGTGGAAAATGATTTGCCAAGCAAATAACATCCACAGAAAAGCAGGTGTAGCCATATTTATATTTGACAAAACAAATTTCCAGATAACAAAGATAATTAGAGGCAAAGATGTACATTTTATAATGATAAACGGGACACTACATCAAGAAGAAATAACACTTCCTAATACATATACCCCCAATCAGGGAACACCAAATTATATAAAGCAACTACTAACAGAACTAAAGGGAGAAACAGACAAAAATGCAGTCATGGTTGGGAACCTTAATAATCCATTGATAGCTCTAGATGGATCATCCAAGCGGAAAATCAGCAAAGAAAGATTGCCCTTCAATGACACATCAGACGAAATGGACATAATTGACATTTACAGAGCCTTTCATACCAGAACATCAGATTATACTTTCTTCTCCAGTGCACATGAAACATTCTCAAGGAGAGACCACAAAGTAACTTCAACAAATTCAAGGAGATTAAAATTACACCAAACATATTCTGTGACCACAATGCTCTGAAATTAGAAATCAGCAGCAAAAGGGAAGTAAAGAAACCCACAAATATGTGAAGATTAAACAACATACTACTAAAACAATGACTGGGTCAAAAAAGAAATATAAGGTGACATCAAAAGATATCTAGAGACAAATGAGAATGAAAATACAACATATCAAAACTTCTGGGATGCAGTGAAAGCAGTAATAAAGAGGGAAGTTTATATCATTACAGGCCTATCTCAAGAAACAAGAGAAATCCCAAGTAAACAACCAAACATTACATCTTAAAGAATTAGAAAATGAGCCCTGGCCAGGTAGCTCACTTGGTTAAAGCATCGTCCTAATAACGGCAAGTTTGTGGGTTTGATCCCCAATCAGGGCACATATAAGAATCAACCAATAAATGTATGATAATTTGAAACAACAAATCAATGTCTCCTCCTCTTCCCTCTCTCTCACTCCCTTCTGCTCTCTATCTAAAATCAATTTTTTAAAAAGAACTAAAAGAACTAGGGGGTTAGGAAAGATTGGGTAAAAGAGGTGAGGTTATTAGCTAAAGAACATATATGCATAGCCTATGGACACAAACAATAGTGTGGTGAAGGCCAAGGGAGGCCGGGGAGGGGCGGTGGAGGTACGCAAAGGGGGATGGATGGGGACATCTGCAATAGTGTCACCATAAAAAATTTTTAATAAAAGAAAATAACAAGAAAAAAGAACTAGAAAAGGAAGGTCAAAAGTAACCCGAAGTCAGCAGAAAGAAATAAAAATTACAGCAGAATTGAATGACAGAGAAGAAAAAGACTTTACAAAATAATAATATTTAAAAAGCTGGCTCTTTGAAAAGATTAATAAAATTGACAAACTCCTGGCTAGACTCACTGAAGAAAAAAAGAGAAAAGACTCATATAAACAAAATCAGAAATTAAAGAGAAGTTACCACAGACATCACAGATATACAAAGGATCGTACTAGAATATGATGAAAGGCGATAGCACATTCACTTATCAGCATAGACCCTTGAGAAATGCAGGCAACAGGTGCAGCTGCAGACATGCAAGAACAGTCAAGGTCAAGATGAAAACATAATCACTAATGGGGGGAAAAACATATCTACTAAATCACTGAAAATAAATAGTGGGGGGAAAAACACAGGTCAAAAGAAATAAGCTAAAATTAAATAAGAAAACAAATGTGACAAAATGCACATACAAAATATAAAAATTTTGAGACAACTAAACTTACAAAAATATTCATTCTAGAGGGGTGTAAGGAGTCATATCAGCTTAATACAATAAGGTATCCTGAAAGACATCCTGGGGCAGAAAGAAGCCATTAGGTAAAAACAAAGGAAATCTTAATAAACTATAGACTTCAGTTAATTTTAAAATATGCAAAAATATTAATCACAATAATGTCTAAGGTGATAATTTTATAGATCAAATATAGATCAAATAATAAAACAATGTAGATATTGAAGTAAATGGTACAACACAAAAACCAAGTGAGGATAGAGAAATATTGGGGAAATACTAAATGAAAAGAAGCTAATGTGTGCATAGACATGTAGAGACAGAGACAAAGATTGACACAGAGACAGAGACAGATATAGAGACAGAGATGGAGAGGGAGTTAGAGGTCGATATGTCAGACCAAATGACTTCAAAACAGAAAGCAACATTAGGGATAAGAAGATTCACTATGAGAAGATAAAAAGTTAATTTCTAGGAAGGTATAACAACTGCAAAGAAGTTTGCACCACGTAAAACAGCTTCAAAATATAAAGAATGAATTGAGTAAAGTATAGTGAGACTTTGGCAAATACAACTGTATCGCTGGAGATATCAATATTATTTCTCAAGTGCTGAGGGATCAAGCAATCCAAATTAATAAAAATACAGAAGATGTGAGTCATTCACTTACAATTATAATGCAGTCACGTTATACAGAATTTTGTTCCTAATAATTAGAGAGCTTTCATATTTTCTAGAAAATCTCTATCATTCACAACATCACCATGCATAAGTATATGAAGGCAGACACAACAAAATTCACTAATTAGTTATCTTACCAAATACAAATAAAAAAATGATAGTAGCAAAAAAACTAAATATAGCAATAATAAATGATGGATTATAATCAATCCTGTGAACCCAAGTTAAAATAAATGAAGTTCCCCAGATGCAGGGACTGAAATTAAGAGATGAGGTAAACAATTCACATTTTGTAACTTAGGGAACCAATGTACTCACTTGGCAAGAATTCAGGAGATGATTTAGGTGATGATTATACTATTGATGGAGCTGGTATTTATCATATAGAAAGGTCGGTGTTGCTATTAATAGTTACACAATGAGGAAAATCTTATTAAATCCATGCTACACTTACTCCATACTTCAATTCTTCAAATGTTTGAAATTCAGGATGAATTTCACATGTTCTCACATGTGCCATATCCCCGTATCTTAGACATCTCATAAAATGGTGCAGCACTTGACAAAAAGCCCTCCCCTTTTGTATCACATCTATATTTATAGTACTATAAGAGAAACAAAAAAATAAATCTTTACATAAGCTATTAATGTTTGTCACTAACCTCTGCACTTCCACAATCACATTGTTCTCCTCCTTCCACAATTCCATCGCCACAAGATGATTCTCTTCCTTGGACAACCACTTTTGAAATGTTTTGATTCTGAAGACATTCAAATTCAGGCTGTGAAACTGCACGTTTAAACTCATTCACGCTGCAACTGCTAAAAACCTTTACACCTCGGGAACGTCTAAAATTAGATTATATTCTTCAGGTAGATGCAGTAAAATCACTATCAAAGTAACACTCTTCAATATAGCACTATTAATTCTCTACAACATCAGTTACAGAAAAGCCAAGGAGGGGAGAGTGCTTTATTCTTAATACAAGTCATAAATGTAAGCAATGAGTTCATTTATATTGTAATTTAATATACTAGAAATCTAGCAAGTAGAAGAAGCTAAAGTGCGATGAATTAGAATATGTTAAAACACAACAGTGTTTGGCACACAAAAGGTCTAACTAAGTATGTTCCATCATTTATTATTTTCATTATTACTGTCAACATCATAATGATAATAATTATAAGGAGCACTAATTATCATTAAGAATATTACATATGCTAGGTAATTTATATGGAAAACTGAAGGAATAAAAGATAGTTGATATTGCTAGTGAAAAATCATAAATACATTTTTCTTGGTAAGATTCAATTAAAATATGTGAACATTAAGTATATAAAATATATAAAATTACATTATTTTTTATTTTAAAAGTTCTATATTACTAAGTGTACTGTTGAATGGTTGTTTTAAATTTTCTCTCTCCAAATTAGAGAAGTGATACAAATGAAGTCCAAAGAATAAATTATTTTCAGAAAAAGTTAACAGTAGGTTGCCTTAGAATGTTTTGATAACTGTAAATATTTTAATGTATAATCTTACATAGAAATGAATTCTCCTAAAACAGATCCTTTAAAATCAGGAAATAATGACACATTATTAACACCTCGTCCTAAAATTTCATTCAGAATTTTCCTTCTGCAGAATACTGGAACTTTGATTGCAAAAGGATCAAGTTCAGAATCAATCATTGCATTTAGCTCTCATGTTTCCTTAGTCTAGTCACCTATTTTTTTTGTTGGATTTTGTGACACCCAAAGTTTTGTCATTACAAGCTGATTATCTGGTAATGTGTCCCTCAATTTCAGTTTATGAAATGTTTCCTGATAATTAGACTGAGGTTATGCAAGCTTATCACAAGAATGTTGCTGAGTTTATTTCACTGTGTCCTAATAAATGGCACATGATTTTGATTTGTTGTATTACTGATAAAAAAAATTACTTTGAGTAGTTGATTAATGGTGTGTCTGCCAGCCTTCACTCTGAAATGACTTTTTTTCTTTATCAGTTAATAATCATTTGGAGAGAAGTACTTTGGTTTTATGTAAATATCCCATTTCTAACTTTCTGATTTATTCATTCATGCATTTACATGATTATGGAATCATGTTTTCCTATTATACTAAATGAGTTAAATAATACATTACTATCATTATTACTTATGACATTCAGTTGGCCACATATTTGGCTATAGGGAGTCCCTTAAAACTGGTCAAGGTGTCCCTTTGAAAAATCACCATAATTCTTTGAACACCACCTCATATTTTGACACAAGATGTTCCAGGCTCATTTGTATTTTCTCTGCCATAGCCCTGGAATCAATCATCCCTCCAAGTCCTTCTAGTGGAGAATAGTATTTCCAAAATATTACCTGGGTGCTACACATCCTTGTTATTAGATTTTTAAAGCACAGGGACCAAGGCCATAAGCAACACCTTAAGAAATGTTCCGTGCCTTTGCTCTCACCTACAATTTGCAGTATCCCCACCAATTTGGGCGCCTGTAATGGCATGAGCGTCCTGATATTTCAGCCTCAGTGGGGGACAAGTCTGGGGTGTATAGATCAGTCAGTGATTTCTGAGCTCCCAGGCCTGTGAGGTTTTGTACAGCCCCCACTGTGTTCATTTTATTGCCTCCTACACAGCTACTTAGTTCATGCAGGTCTTATTCTGTCAGTGGATTGGGCCCACCTGCTGGTATCTTTGGTGCATTCCAGTTTGGGGAATGTAGAAAATGCTTTCGCTTTTTTGTTTGGTTTCCTAGTTTTACTCGTCGTTTTTGTCAGAGAATTGGGGGAGACTAAAATACAATGCTGATACTTTTACCATCTATCTGACTTCTATCTTCTCCCTTTTCTTAAAATATAATTCTCCCTAGGTAAGGAGCCATCCTATCTTGGTTCTTATTCTAATATTGTCTTCCTTTCTATGACAAGTATGCAAAGCTATACCTTAGGGCAACTGTTCCACTATTTTCAGCTTCTTTCGAAATAATCTGTTCATGGTTTTAATTCCCATCAATATGCTGATGGCTCACACATTCTAGATCCCTTGTCCTCAGAGATTCTGATCTATATAACTGTGTACTTATCTCTAATGAATGAGTCAGAGGCCCCAATATAACATATACAAACTGCCTCAAGATTTCCCATTTTCTCCTTTCCTAAAATATTTGCCTTATTAACAGTATCTGTTAATAAGTTGTGATATCCCAAAATCTACATATAATTATTGCCATTTTCTTTCCTCTCAACCTTAATAAACTGCTGCAATTATTATGAGAATCATCTCCCAAATATTACGATATTGTTGTTCCCTCTGATATATTATTCATTCACTTCTAAGGTAATCTGTATTACCCATACGGCATAAATCAATTTAAAATGTGGTTTGCTAGATTGATCATAAAATACTAACTCTTACATCATGATAACATGATCGGGCTCTTTTCTACATATTCTATGTTAGCTACCACCTGGACTTCTTCCCCTCACTCATTGTTCTTTACATTTTACTTTCTTTTCCTTATGCCTTGTATATATTTCCTTATAGTCCCAGCTATTTCTTTTCTTTTTTCATTTTTATCCCCGCTCCCCACAGTCTCCTTACTCCAGTCTGTTCAGTTTCTCAAGCTTCTTGCTATCCAAGTAACACTCACTTGCTTACCCTGAAAACTGTTCAACGAATTTTTTATATGACTAGAGTCATTCCTTCTCTGCAGGTCCCAACAGAATTATTTCCTAGGCCACTTTATTGGAAAGTTACCTCTCCCCATGTATTCCCTATCTACCTCCTTCGGGCACCTCTCATAAGATGTTTATTCCATGGCCACTTTTTAATTTCCTGTCCCTAATGGACTAATATAAGTTATTTATGACTTATCTATCTTGTCAGCCATTGGTAAGGCAAATACACATAATCCTGCAACAGAGCCAATGCTTGTTACATATTTTTAAAATGAATAAATAAATTTCACCTCAAAAGTCTAGTAAGCCCCCAAAAGTCATTATCAACAAACACTTTCTCTCTAGACTGTAACACTGAATATAGAAATATTAAGCCCATTTTCTACAATATTGAATCCTAATTCAATTTAATAAGCTTTAAATAAGCACATATATATTTAATAAAAATCTTCTTACTCAAGTTATATTGCAAGTGACATATATCAAAGACTACTACAAGCATTTCACCAAAAAAGTCATAGATTTGATAAAAAACAACATCTTACATTGCTTGAGGATTCATAATGCATGTAGTTTCTGGACAGTAACAATTATAGATGTCACCATAGGTTAATCCCAGATTAATTCCAAGCAACTGTGCCATAACAACTGAGAATGCCTCTAAAGTTATCGTCTTTGGATACTAAAAACAAAAACAATGTTGCCTATGTTATTTCTTCACCACTTTGATCATTTCAATAAATAATTTGTGGACATACTATCTAAATGCAAATGCAAAAATAAGAAAATAGTATTCCAACGCTCAATAATTTCTTAGAAATATAGAAAACAAAAAAATTTGGTACAGTGTGGTGTTTTGGGGTTTTTTTAATTGAGAAATAGTATTTTTAATCTAAATGGCATTGACAAGTAACTAATAAAATTAATGTATTTTATGTTTTTATTATGTGTTACTGATTTAAATCCAAATAACTTTAATTTTTTTTTAGAAGAATAAGCATTGTTTCAGTGACCATATTATTTTCCCAGTGAACACTTAGAAAAAAAATACACAGCTTCTCAAGGGTTGAATTGGCAATCAGTTTCAGTTCATCAATAATTTTAGGAAAGAAAGCCAAATTAACTTTTTCTGAAGGTAGAATACTATCACACTTTGCAAGTAGCATTTCTCTTGTCTCCAAAACAAAACAAACACAAAAAACAAAAGTAACTTGAAAAGCAGTAATTTCAGNAAGTAATAAGTTCCAGAAGAAATACACCCCTAACAACCGTCTTTTACTATCTGCATGGTTTTTCCTTTTCCATAATGTCATGAAGCTGGAATCAGATGGTATTTAGCCATTTCCGATTGGCTTCTTTCACTAAAGACTTACGTTTTCTCCATGTCTTTTAGTGACTCGATCGCTCATTATTTAATCACAAAATAATATTCCTTAATATGGATTTACCCCAGTTTGTTTACCCATTTGCCTACTGAAGGATATTTTGGTTGTTTCCAATTTGGGGTAGTTATGAATAAAGCTGCTCTAAACGTTCATATACGAGTTTGTGTGTTTAATTTTCCAACTCATTTCGNTTTGTGTGTATAACTTTCCAACTCATTTCGGTAAATGCCAAGGAGAACAATATCTGAATCATATGGTAAGAGTGTGTCAAATTTTCTAAGAAATTGCAAATTGTTTTCCACATGAGTGCACCATTTTGCATTCCCATCGACAATGAATGAGAGGTTCTGTTTCTTCAGATCCTCACAGCACATGCTGCTGTGCTTTTCCCTTCCAGTACAATGCTGAATAGGAGTGGCGACCTATATCCTTGACTTGTTCCAGATCTTAGTGTGAAAGCATTTAGTTTCTCACCAAAAAGTAGTAATAGTAGCTATAGGATTTTCTGTGAATGTTCTTCCTCAAGTGAGGAAGTTCCCCTCTATTCCTAGTTTGCTATAGTTTTGTTTAAGTGTGTTTTTTTAATCATAAATAGTGTTGGATTTTGTCAAATGTTTTTCAGGATCTATTGATATGACCGTATGATTTTTCTCCTCTAGTCTATTGATGGGATAGATTGCATGAAATGATTTTCAAATGATGAACCAGCCTTAAAAATCTGAAATAATGTCCAGGTATAAACATCAACAAAAAGATATAAACTATTTTTTTCTAATTCTTACACTAAAAAATACAATAAATGAAATTAAAAATACCCTGGAGGAATTCAAAAGACACTTAATCAGGCAGAAGAAAGAATCAGTCCTAAAGACAGGACATTTGGAATCACTGGGTCAGAGGATGAAAAAAGAAAAAAAGAATGAAG